GAATGTAAGCTATCATCATGCCAAATTTCAGCCCAATCCGTCCAGAGGTTTATGCGTGATTGAACTTCAAACACACAAACAAACAAACAAACAAACACACAAACACACAAACTTTCCCATTTATAATAATAGTAAGATTATTATATCATGAGTTTGTTATTAAACTTAATTAACTTAATTTAACGTGAAAATATTGAAGTGGAGATGATTTACACAGAAAACAAATTAGTTAGGTATATGTTTTTATAGGTTAAATCAGTTCTAAATTGATGGTTATATTTTAACAGGTTCGCTTGATTTAGACATATTTTTTATGTAATTCAGTATAAAAACTAATCTCTTCACACTCGTATAAATATGCTCTAGACTCAACAGCATTTAAAGTAAAGGCTACTACATTTTTTGTCTCACAAACCATTGAAACTACATTATACAGCAGAAAACCCCATCTTAGAGTATTCGGAGTATTTATTTGCACTTTTTACTACAAATTTTGCCGTTTTTATGCCGCTTTAACTCATTTCTAAGCGTAGATTCATTAGTGAAATTCATTAGTTTTGAATAAAAATAAAATTTTCTTAAGCCTAGCACAAAACTGTCTACCAGCAATCAGCTAACTAATTAATTAAAGTCAGTTAATTGGTAGAGGAAACCCGATGTCAAATATAGGCCACTAAACTGTAAAATAGATTTATTATTATAGAGATTAACTCTTATACAATGGCCCAGATAAAAAAAACTGACAATACTGTAATGATACTATTTTTAAATACAGCATTTTTACTTCGGATTTTTTAATTGTGTCAGTAATGCGAGTTTATTTAGGCGAAGACAATGATTTTCAATGACTTGAGGTGACAGTCCTTTGCACAAAATGTTGCGCAAATATCACCAATAGTGAGCACGATAACATTATATTATAGTCTATAGTTTGTTTTATACATATTTTATAATATAATGGAAGCTGTACATATGTAGGCATATGTTTATTTTTCAACGTCTCCTACAAATTAAACCCCACGATGCTAGGTCCCCTGGTACTATTATTTAAACCCCGTATAAAGCTGCCAAATTCAAGGTAATACTTAAGTGAAAATCCAATCAGGTAAATGAAAATTCACTTAGTCAGCAGATATTAGAGTGTTAGAACCATTGACTTTATATCTGTTAGAACTGTATTGACCTCTGTCCACCATGTAGGCCTTTACATACATTAAAATGAATAACGATGTTTGAATATTGAATAATTAAACTTTTAGGCAAACTCTGTAAATTTTCCAATAGGCATTGGTCTTGTTAGTTGGAATTTTTAAGTTGTCAGAATTATATTTAGGCTGTTTTCAGGTTCTTTCTATTGGGCATGCGAAGATGGATTTGAAACATATAAAGAGAACGAACATGCCGGCCAAGAAGGGTATGCTTGCATTGAGTGCAAGTCGCAAACAGGAACCAGATTTGAATGTGATCATGGCCTCGATTGTATTACGAGGAACACAAATCCTGATGGATCTAGGACACGTCTGTGTCTCCAATACCAACCCACGTGACTTGTAAGAAAAAGAACCTCTAAAGAAATGCCACATAAATTATGTTCGTTATTTTTAAACTTTAATTACCAACATTATTGAGGTAAGCTTGACGGTACTGTATGTTGAACAATGTTGAAATATCAGTGGAAAATTAAGCTACAAAATTTATCCTCACCATAAAACCCAAATTTTAATAAAACACCAACAATCAGTACCCCATAACCAACATTAACATTATAGAATCGATAGCCCATAAGCGGAAGTTAGGTATTATTAACATCATTCAAACTTCTGTCCTATACGACAAGGTTTCAGAAGTTTGTTTTTGTGTTTTTTGTTTTCGTATTTTCCATTTGGTGTTGTATTTTTATAAAACATTAAGTGCAGGTCATGACCCGAGAATTTCCTGTCTACCACAAAACTTCCTGCATTAAAATATATATGATAGTATTCTTACTAAGCTAACAATCCATCAAGGGCCTATTTAATCGTTAAATAAAATCAACAATTGGCTTACCGTATAAATAGTTTAGACTTTTACATAAGACCAAAGTACTTTAAGAGTCCTTGGAGCCTAGACGTTCTAACTCATAAAACAAAGAACTAGGCTACAAAGAAAGTTTCTAATCTCACAGTATACTAGATATTTAAACTACAATCACTCTGGTGTTTGAACAAATATTTTTGGACGGTAAATAACTCTTAAGCGGCTGTTTTAAATTAACGAAATTTGACATTGCTCATATTGCGGGCAGATCCAAGATGGTTGTTAGCTTCCAAGGACTCTCTTGAAGAATAATTCAAAACTACAAAGAACATAATACTAATAGATATTTAAATTATGATCACTTTGGTGTTTGAAAAAATATTTTTGGACGATAAATAGCTCTTGAACAGCTGTTTGAAACTATCCAAGATGACCTCCTAGGACTCTTAAGAAGTGAGGACCCAATTGGCCTCTCCTTGTCTAATAAAAACATTTTCTTTCACCTTCGTGTTTACAGTGTGGAATTAACTTTTAACTCGGGGCAGGCATTCTTGAATTGTGTAAAATTGATTCAGTTGGTACCTTTTCAATAACTAAGTTTATCTTTTAAATATTGTAACATAAAGATACTTGACAAAAATCTATTCCAATACAAATTTTATTAAAGTCATTATATTTAGTAACAAAGAAATAACACCACTCTATGGCAGAAGGGCAATGCGATTCTGTGCCTGATTGGCAATAAAGTTTAATTAACTTTCGACTCATATGGATAACGAACGCGTTAAAACTATAATTAATTACTTTTGTAGCTGTCCATAGTTGATCGAAATATTACTGAATTTATTACCAATTCATGTTTAAAAAACTTTGTTCCAAATACATTTTTGAGAAGTGAGTTTTATGCCTTTGAATTTAATCAACATTCTTTTAACACCAATAACTTCAACAATGATTATCAATGTATTTTTTTTTTTATTTGGATAACAACCTTAGTAGAAGTTGGTGTGAAAATATTGATATCAGAAAAGGAAATAGAGGATTAGATTCTACTAGTATCTTCGCAACGGTGGAACGTGTTGCTGTAGTGTGGTGGAGCGGGAGACTTCGGTCCCTGGGATCACGGGTTCAAATCCCGCCAAATACCAACTGATTTGATCTAATTCCGCAATCCTTAGGTCTAGCCTGAACATGAGGAAAACTTTACCGGGCTAGAACCTTACGTCCTAGGATGGAAAATATAAAAAGTATCCACGCAACAAGTTATGATACAGAATAGAACAAGCTGCATACCTTGGCCCTCTTCTTTGAAAAGGCTATGTGTTTCAATCACTTTGTATATTGTGTAAAGTCATTGACTATTGGATACTGAAGGTAAAATCTATAGCTTTGGGGAAACATAAACAAAGAAAATGTTTACTTGCAGTTGTATCTTAGATCATAAAGAGTAATCAATATTTACTTTCAAACCCCACCATAGGAGCTTTCATTTCTTAAAGCCTGGTGTAAAGGCCTAAGGTAAAAAAATGAAAATCGTAAAAGATCTAAGTAATGATGGACACACTACACTCTAATATGGATTTGTGACACAAAAATGAATTCACGCCAAAAAATCGTGTTTTTATAAAATTATTCCTCACTTGTTTCCCTAGTATATGTAACACTGTATTTCGGTCTGACTTGACAAATTTGAACTTTTTATATTAGTGATAAATGGTATCTGTATTTTATGAACTCAATACTAGAAAAAAATTCTGGCAACTGAGAGCCTATTATTCACTATAATGATGTGGTCATTAAACGCTCTTGACATGGCTATTTTATCTTCACATTTTATAACATGGTGGACATTTTTCAAACATTCATATTTTTTACTCGTCGATGATTTATGTTGCAGATTAAATAGCCGTGTAAAGTGATATTTCACGTGGCAGAGCGGATTTTACAATTTTTACTTGTTTTACTCCTAGCAAATACAATATACAAATTAAAACCTACCATAGCAAACATAAAGTGTTATTTTTAGAAATTAAAAAGTAAAAAAGAGGTTAATTATTTCAACAGATCCGGTACAAAAACATTTTCTCTTAGACTTTCTGGCTCATTGGGTATTTTTTAGTTTTACTGCTACAAGAAAAACATTATAGTTTCATTTTAAAAGCCTACATCAAAGTCAAGAAATTCACTGACGCAGCATGTCCACAAATAGGTAATATACAGAAATTTTCCCCAATCTGAGGTGATCACTTTTAAAACCATTGGTTAAAATACTTCAAACATACAGCGCAAATGAAGTTTTCATAAAAATATTAATTATATACAATAGCTATGTTTTAAGGGAAACAGCCAAAAATATTGTCACTTAATTCTATGGTAAGGGACTTATTCCAAACATTTTAATTGTATGAGTAACAAAGTATTATAAATTTTAGGTGGCAAATAAATAACAGTAGCTAAGAAGTTAATTTTCGCCCCTGTTAAGGTGGACAACTGAAGTAAAACAGCCACCTCGCCCCAAGCAACTGCAATTCAATATCTTTTTAAATTAGTTTCCTGCAATTTTGTAAGATTAGAAGTCAGTTTTCACCAAGACCCATCTTATTTTATTTTCCTCCAACTCTTCAAATGTAAATTTGTTATGTCATGTCCGATTTGATTTCCTATGATAAAAATCCTGTGGATCAATTTTTCATTTTTATAATTTTTAATTGTTTTCTCTATTGTATTTACTATATGTTTATACTACCCATTAATTTTTTTTGTAAATGGTTTTTAAATAAAAGTTTATGATTGAAAAAGTGTAAAAAACACCAAAACATATTAAGACTTTCATAAAAGGAACACTTATTTCCATTTTGTTCTTAGAGATTTATAAATATAGTGTTGATTTATTCTTCTTAATTTAAATTTGACCTTGAAATGCACATTTCATGATCATGCAAGATTTTGGGATTCAAATTATTTTACAACAATTAGTCTAAAAATTTCTTATTTGTGCTTTTACATATATTTACAAATATACAAAAACACTATCACCTAAAAAAACAATAAAACTCTTAAAATAAAACATAAGTTAAGTTATCATACAATTAAAAAAATCCTATCTTTAGCTGGGCTACTAAAGATTATTTTAGCACATTTAATAAAAACTATCTAAATAAAACAAAACTGGTAAAGCAATGATCGTTGTAACTGATTTCTGTATAGGTGGATTGTTTTGTGCATGATTAACCAAAACCCTATTATGATGAACAATAAAATTCAAACAACATAACAAACAATAAATAATTTAAATGTATAAATTGTTAGACATATAGTCTAACTTTATAAGTAACTTTATTGTATATTTATTTAGTCTTAACAATGTACTCTTTTATTTGAGATCTGTAAAATCAAACCACCCTAAGCCTAAAAAAAAGTAAATTTAAGAGATTTGAAAAGCGCACTTATAATCTAGAACCTTTTATTATTAATGGTTTGCCAGAGATTTTACATACAAATATAATTCTAACTAATAAGATATTATAAAATAATAGACAATAATTTCAATTCCTACAATGTTAAAATTCAATTTGCCAAGTTGTTTTTGCATTTGATTTTAACAAAAATAAATGAATTACTTACAAATTTAATTAACAAATATAAAAGATTATTTACTGCACAAGTCAAACAGAACCTTGCTTACTATAATGCTCAACTCAAAATAAAGATCTGATGTAAATGTTAGTAATTTTTATTAATACCGTTGTACCTTACAAAACTATGTTTAGTAATTGAAAATACTATGAGATAATACTTCTGAAAAGTATTTAAAAATTGCAATTGCTAGTAAGTTTAGCAAAATAATAATTCAAATGTCTTAGCACCCACATACATCCTAAACCAAAGAGACATTTTAATTTGTTCATGTTTCTTTATTTTACAACATTAATTGTGGGCAGTATTCAAGTTACTTATTCTAGTTACTTATTTTTATATTTTGCACTTTTACTCAATTTAATTCATAATTAATCTAATTTTAATTCTACGCATATAACAACAATTACTTTATACCATGAGGTATTCTAAATAATATTACTTAGTGTCATTAAAATAATAAGTAGCACTGTGTCATTAGTGGTATACTTTAAATTTATTATATAAAATATCGGTAGGTAATTAAGTTTTTTTAAGATGTGATGCAATTTTTCATTATTCCACTTGCACAACAGATCAAGGTTTAATATTTGTAATTGCAGCACATAAAATAAAGCTTTATGAAATTTTTTTCATTCACTAATAACTATCTTAAAGTTGCATATTTTTCATCCCAGTTTCAAGGACTTGTATTTTAACCCAAATATGAGTGAAGGATGAGTTTAAAATAAGGTAAGATGCTAAAATCAGCTGTGTCATTAGCCAGGACCATATATTAAAACCCCAATGTTTTAGGACAGCTGGGTCCAATTTCAAACGATCAAAAAGCTGCATACTTTTCTCAGGATAGAAAAATCTATATCCAAAAATTAATACAAACACTGATTTGAATGATACTCATCTTAATAACAAGTTAATCAGTACTAAAACAAGTAAATTAATATACTTTCACACACAACTATTATACAATCAGTACGTATTGATAATTCTTTATATAAAACATTTTTTCTACTTTTACACCAATTCCGTTAAATCAGTTAGCTCTGTTTCTGTTTTTCTCTGGGGTGCGTGGTGTAATGTTCGTGTAGTTTCAACCGGCTGAGAAACAGTTTTCCACACACTGTACACGCTAGTGACGGAGCTTGTCTTTCGTGAGCCCCTGTATGTCTCTTCAGCGCTCTCAGTCTAATAAACCGAGCATTGCACACCTCACAAACATACGGTGGTAACTTTCCGTTGTGTTTGTACTCGTGATCTCTAAACGTCGATCGACTGTTACACGCAAACTTGCACAAATGGCAGTTGTACGCTTTTTCGCCTGTGTGCGCTCGCATGTGCGACTTGAGCGTGTACGCAGACTTACACTTGAAGTCGCACACTGTGCACGGGAACGGCTTCTCATCCGAGTGAGTACGCAAGTGTTTGTTGATCAGTCCTCGGTACGCGCAGCGATAGTTGCAAATATGACACTGGAACGGTTTTTCACCCGTGTGTTGCCTCATGTGTTCCGTCAAGTGTCCGGATTGTTTGAATTTTCTCTCACACAGTGTGCAATGGTACGGAGTTTCACCAGTGTGTACACGCATGTGTTTACCCAAACTGTTTTTTGACGAACACCTAAACGAGCACTCATTGCATGCAAACGGTTTCTCCTTGGTGTGTGTTCGGAAATGCTCCTTGAGGTACGTCACTCGTTCCGTTTTATACGGACACTCAGTGCAAGCGTAGACGTTGTGATGTTTACTCAAATGCGCTCGCAGTCTCAGGTACTTATTAGTCTTGAATTCACAGTTGGGGCAAACGTACGAGAAGTGGTCTGGATGATCGTCCAATAAATGTTTTGCCAAAATGTCTTTGTTGTTTGTTTTAAAGTCACATATAACACAGTCAAAGTACATTTTGCTCGAGTTTTTTATTCTCCTGTAAGGACGTAGACCGCGGTTGTGTTCTCCGTACAGGTTGACGTGCACCTGGACGTGAGCCAGGAAGGTGTCTTTTCCGAGTGATCGTTCGCCGCACACTTGACAAAGGTAGGTAAGGTAACGTCCGGCCATTGGACTGTTGTATTCCGATAACAAATCTGCTCTCAGCCCAGTTTCATCGTCCTGATAACCGAAGTATTCTGGTTGATCTGAAATAAACGCAATTGTTATAGATGTTGTTTGATAGCCCCAAAAAAATAAAAATGGAAAAAAAAACAATATTAATTTAATTGAAAACTTGTAGCCTACTATAAAGAATACATTGATAAAATTAATCTATACACAAGACATAGCATAAACTAACAAAAATAGACTTCTCATCGCATTGTAAAATCAGAAAAGTGTGGTTCATGTTCCTGACGTTAAATGCTAGTGTAAACAACATTTTACTCTTTTTTTATAATTTTATGAAATTAATTTTATGATTAAGCTAAAAAAAAAGGTACTTATAAACAATAGCTCGGCCTCTGGTTTTATAACCAAACAGGAAGACACAAAACATCAAATTAACCCTGAAATAAGAGAAAAACATTTTGTCAACACTAATTTATGTTTTGTGCACCATTTTGTGGGTTCAATGTTACCAACTTCCACACGTAAAAAAACAAGCTTCAGATTTTACAATGTGCTGAGAAGTCTACTTGTGTTAGTTAGTCTAGTAAAATTATTTTTTTAAATATATTGTCCTTATTATCTCCTAAGTTAACTCCAGTTTTATATACCTACACTTGGTGAATTAAGTTTCTTCTGAGTCCCAGTCTTTAACACTTAAAGTGAAGCATATGTTCTCTTTTAGAAAAATTATAACAGAAATTGTAAAACTAATAATTAGAAGTCATTGGTAAAAAAAAGTGCACTTTTCAAATACTCTTAATTATTCTACTCTTTATGAAGACTTGGTTCAAGCTTTGCCAGCTTTAGTGAAAACTTTTATGAATTTTATAGTTTATATTTTTATTTGTAAATATAATATTAACAACTATTATATGGACACCTTTTGTGATTTCATCAGTTATATGGAAACTAAAATAAAAGGCCGTTTTAAATTTATAATAAGTATTTATTTCAACACAATCAGGATATTATATGATCTACGTATAATAATTTGAATAGCTGGTATAGATTTATTAAAAATTCTTACATTTTAATGGAACAATGGTTTGATAGAAAGTTGATTTTACATATTGCCATAACCTACCATAACAAATGGATATAATGCATGATACTTACATCAGTAGCTAGAAAATTAAAAACAATGGATGATCGGAAAATATTAACTATACTTGGTTTACAATATTTACACAGTTTAAGGAGAAGTTCCCCCACCACTTTTTTTATCTAATGTAAAGGTATATTGCTTAATAAGCTGTTGAGCTATTGTTTCAAAGGTAAGGGTCAAGTGGAGGGGATAGATTTCTTCCCCTAAAACCGCCTAAATATTGTGAACGAAGTAAAATAAGACCAATTTGAAAATTGTTCTATCAATACAATATAGTATATTTCATCACTAGAGCCTAAAGTGACTCTTTTTGACCCGAGGTCCAGTTTTACGGTCGAGACGAAGCCGTGGTCGGAAAATGAGCGAGGGTTAAAAAGACACCTTTTACCCGTGTGGTGAACTATATTTTTTGTCATATTGCATCATTATTATAACAAATAAAGCTAGAAAACGAAATAATTTTTATGTAAAGATAACCTCTCAAAATGACTTCCAACTTGTTTTCAATTCTGCTAATGCAAATAAGCAGCTGATTAGTAAGTGATTCAATAATTTCTTCTATTACTATTGTACATTATAGGATCAATATGTCGAGCGATCGACAACAATAGGCTAAAAACTTCCATAATGAATCAATAGATTAATAATTTCAATCGATACAATTTTCACAATCGCAATTTACAACTGTTTACAACAGCTGATTTTTACTCCCTAGAGACTAAAAATAATTTGTACTCCCTAGAGACGAAAAATAATTTGTACTCCCTAGAGAGTAAAAATGCTAATTTAGCCCTGCAACGCATACATTAAAAATGACTTTTTTTGCTGCAGTATGAGGAAAATGTAATTTATGTATTACATTTTTTAACAAGATATAGGCTAATGTTAGTGTACGTAATGTTGTACTGTACGTTTTGTTAACTAGATTTTTGTTAGTGATGGAAAATGTCCGCAATTATCACTTTAAGTAACACATTTAATAGGCAATTCTGACATCATATTTCTTTAAGCACTAGATAATAATTGACAGGGTTCAGGCTTTGACTATTGGTAGAACATGAGTAGCTATCCCAAAGTCAATGGCTAAAACTAAAAATGTGTGACATTTGTGAGAGTATTACTTTACTGCAACTAAGAAATGCATGAGAGAAGTTTACCAGGTTTCCAAGACAACAAAGAACCTTACATTATTGTTGTACAGTAGATTGGCCGAGAACTTCCCCGCTACAATACTACATAAAATAGTTGTACAGTATAGAGGTCTAAGGAGCCTGGTGAATTTGTTTCATGTATTTCTCAGTGATGATCAGACATTTTCTCAAAGTGCATTGTTTACAACTTAATCTAAAACATGTTATAAGAAGGTTAGTTAATTCACTGTTTTTTGTTTACAGATTGGATTTTCTTTGTAAATTAGTTATAGTGAAGTGAAAAATATCATCTGCGGCGCATTTAAAGTTTGTAAACATAATTTTCAGTTCTTGTAGGGAAAGATATTTTTACCTTATTGCCATATTTTGAATCTATAAACAATAACCTGAGGCAATCAAAAGTTCCAAACAGATTCTTTAGCTGAGATATCAATAATATTTCTAAACTAGCAAATACTTGGTTTCACATGGACTCAGGTTCACATGGTCACATGGACAAAACAGCAAGTTACATGAAAAGTGTAAACTGTTCATTGAATGATTTCTTACACTACTGATCAATCAAAGTGACAAATACAAGAAACAATGAAAGCACTACAATTTTCCTCTACTGCATGTTACTTATGTTTATTCTATACAGTGTGGTGTGAGAAACATTAAGCTCAGAGTGAATACAAATCCTGACCTTGAGGATTAGGCAACGGCCATATTAAAATATAAAGGCCCAGCATACATGGGCATCCATTGACCATTACCATACTTGGGCACCAGGGTGAACATACAGACTGAAAATTCGGGGAAGTTGCGTAAATTTGTTGAATCGGAAACTATGTGGGAATTTTTAAATTGCACGGCGAAAACCTGTTTTCCGGTAAGTCCAGAGTGCACGCCGATTCAGATTCAGATTTTCGGCGGCAGGAATGGCACTTGCATTTTAATGGAGGTGGCCGTAGTGGCTGCCGGTTTCAGAGCCCGCGCGCAGGCACCTGCTTACCGGAATGAATTATTCATTCTGGTTTCAGATTCCGATTCAGATTTTGCTTTACGCATACTATTTAGTTAAATAAATGATGTTTTAATGGTAAAATATTTAAATTTTTTTCTTACTTTTAGGGTTACCACTAAACGGTCTTCAGGATTTTTTGTTTATGTAGGTTACACCAGTTTCTCACAATACAATGTCCAATTTTAATAACAAGTTTCGGTGGTTTCGGGCTCCATTCACCGCAATATAGAAAGACGCTCTATCATTTCTAGCAATAGGAAAATAGTTATGTAATATCATGAACACCATTTTTCACTGGCTATAACTTCACAGCATCTTTAGACCCTATAATTTTACACTTTAATTCCTCATCCAACAATTCCATAACAACGAATTACTTGCATCTTTGCTAACCGAGGCAGTCCTGGCAGCGTATTTCCTGCTTCCTCTGTGGCCACCAACAAAATATCTGACCCAGATTAACCAAGTGCCGAAAATCTGAATCTGATTTTGAATCTGAATCGCCGTGCACTCTAGACGTACCGTAAGTCTGTAGTCATGGCAAAATTGTTAACACATTCCGAGGTAAATTTGAAAACATCTTCTGCAGTCACGGCAAAATTGAGAGCATCTTCAGTAGTCACGGCAAAATCATAAACATTTTCCGCAGTCACAGGGCATCATCGTCTCCCTCTATCAAATGTAAAATAGCAGCCGTGGAAATTTGCACTCGGCTCGACTCAGCTTGATTTAATCCAAGCTTGGCCCGATAATAATTTTCCGTCTGTACGGATCTCATGCCAATCGTTGGTCCGATCAAACCCGAATATATGGAGTACCTGCAGACTTCTAGTAAAAGTTACACTTGGTGACTAGGAATCACGGCTGGGAAAACCAGGTTTTAATGTCGGAAAGTCTGGAAAATTTAGTGAATTTTGTCTAGTTCTGACCAAAATAACCGCTTTTTCAGATAGTCGAGTAAAAACGTAAAAGTTAAATAATTCACACTATGCCATTGGCTACAGTAGAAAGGTATTCAAATTTTTAAACAAAACAACAAATATAATTTGACAAAGCAAATTTAGGTTAAAAAAAGCTTAAAATCAAACATCTAAATTATAATCTTTTTTTTGGGGGGGGACACAAAACACACAAGTTTGCATTTTTGTGTGTGTATTAAACTTCTTTAGACCCCTAAAACAAAAAATACAGTTTGGCCCAAGATCAAACCTAGATCTTACCACAAAGATTATGTATTGGCTGCTTCCCTATCAGGGGAACTGATGGAAATGGTAGTTGTTAACTGATATAACAGCTTTTCTTACTTTCTCAGACTAAATAAAGCACCAAAACAGTTTAATCAGTAAAAATTGTTAACTTAACTAAATTAAATAAAAGCAAAGGAAGTCTTGTGATATTTCATTAACAGTTACAAAAACTAATTGAGGTTCTGAGTACCACAACAAAATATATCTTCAAACTTATTGGTAACTGTCTTGAATAAAAACACCTTTTACGTAGTACTTTTATACTTAAATGATTATGGTTATACATTTTTCATTAGTCCCGTTTATTAAAGTTTTAAAACATATAAAGCTTGTACATACAATGCAATACTATATAGCAAATGTGTTAGTTGAAAAATCTTAAAATAAATGTAATAGTAAATAATATATATTTGGCAATAGTTTCTCATAGGTAACAAAGAAATTCGTAGGTACTAGTACTAAATATACCTTAGATGTGGGCAATTACAGAAGGAACTCAAATTCTTGAACGGTTAGTCCCTATCATTCATCACTATACCATATCTTTTATGTATTTTTTTGAATGGTTAGTTCCTATAAGTCATCACCATAACAATGTGTTTTTTTTTTATGGTTAATCCCTATGAGTAATCACCATATCACATCTTTTACGAGTCTTTCTTGTCATAATTTAGCAAAAGCAATTCAAATTTTAAGGGGGTTTGTATAAAATATGAACATCATAAATCAAAACGCAATGTGTTAGCTGACCAGTATGTTTAGAACATTCAAAGAACCATATTTTAAGGCATATAGGGTCGCTAATCTTGGGTTACGTCACAGAACAATGTGAGGAAGTAAAATTGTTCTATTCCCATAGAACATCTATAAATAAGTATTGCCCACTTCTAAGGTATATAAAGTAAGTACTAATTGTATAGCCTAAAATTAAATCATTTCAGTCTAAAATATAATATAAAGGTTTCTATAAGAATAATCAACAAAATGAATTTTATATTTACATATACACAATTTCTAAATACTAATAGGATTTACATTTTTAAATTAACTGGTATATTTTACAAAGTATTAAAAAATATTCTAAATATAGCAGGGAATATAGCCCACATAAAAACAGCAAAAGGATACAATAATTCATCATAAAAATCCTATTTGTTAAACAGCCAAACAGAAAATTTTACAACAGTGATATGTCAAAACCGAATCTCGAATCTCAAAACCACCAAACCAAAACAAATTTCAGTTTAGAGATTTGATCAGCAAGCTATGATCTAATTATTGGTCCTAAGTAATAATCCAATTAAGTATTGATCTCATATTCATGTTATTATGTTAGTTAAAAGAGTGTTATTATGTCAGTGGCAGGAGCCAACAAAAAGGTGTTTATTTATTTTAGTTTAACCTGCATGATGAAATGTAACATAACACTTGTTACAAAACAACTCATTAGGTAAGGAGTAAGGTACTAAGTTAATAACTCATAAGGTAGTAAGGACAATTTTAAAAATATAAATAAGCAAGATAATGGACAAGTAAATTTTGGCTCCAGTTGTACAGATTCTTGACATTCACATATTGGGACTGATGATGATTGGAGTGTCTAATATAAATTAATCATTACTTACCACCTTTTCTATGTATTTACCGTCTTCTGAGGTAACAGTATATGTTTCAGGTGTTATTATAAATATTTGAATTTACTTTCCATAATTATTGATTACAATTTATCTACATGTAGTTTTGGGTTAAGGCGTCAGGATTCAAGATTCGGGATTTGATTTCTGTTTCAGTTTCGAGATTCAAAATTTCTTTCGACTATCACTAATTAACTTAATTAGACTGTCCAGTCAATACAGTTTCCCTTTCAAATTTCATCCCTTTCAGATCACTTTTGTGAATCTTCATCATATGACGCCGTATAGATTTCCTCTCCCTATATTTAATCTTGCAAATAGAACAAACGTATAAGCTAATCGGATAATTGTCTAAATGCTTCCTAACTATGTGGTTCTTCAGTTTCTCTTTGCTGTTGGTTACAAAGTCACATTTCTCACACGCTAACTCTAAAGGAACTTCGTGTTTCTTAAGATGTTTCGAGAGATTCCTCACCAGATTGGTTTTGTAGTCGCAATGGTTACAGACGAAAGTTTTCTTCTCGTGTTGCGCTGCTATGTGCCTGGACAACATGGAGCTGTAGCTGCATGTATAATCGCAATGTTTACATGCGTAAGGCTTTTCTCCTGTGTGTTTCCTCATGTGTTCCTTCAAACATCCAGCGTTCTTAGAGCGATAGTTGCACAGAGAACACGCGAAAGGACGTTCACCCGTGTGTGTTCTTTGATGTCTCTGGAACGCACTGACTTTGGCAAACGCTAACCCGCAAACATCGCACTTAAACTGAGCCGTTCCTGTGTGTTTCGTCATGATGTGCTGAATAAGATTGCTTCTATGCCTAAAGATTTTGTTACAATGCGCACAAAACTGAACGTTTTCCTTGGTGTGTTTGTGAATGTGTTCGGTTAGTGCAGCAAAGGACTGCGCCATATGTCCACAGATTGAACAAACAAAGTTTTCTGGGACTTTTCCTTTTGAACTTTTTGGCTCTTCGGTTTTTAAGCGCCTTTTTGTTGAACGCTTCTTTGAGGTGGTTTTATGAGATGGTTTTGTGGTTTTACAAAGATCTGAAATGAAAATTGTACTTGCTAATTTTTTGAATCTTTCAAGAATATGTATTGAAACTGTAATCCACAGTGGCTTCAAAATATACTAAACATACATCCAGGGCTGGACTGTAAGTAATCCAATTGAATAAACCTAAATAATTAATGTGAGTTCCACATGTGATGATGAAACATTTTACTTTAAAAATTAAGAACTTAATCTAGTAAATAATCCAATGTGTAATATAGTCATATTTGACAAACATTTTTGATAGGAATTAATGAAATTTACTTCTTGATAAAATTCAATCAGAAATACATTTAGTGTTCATTATTCGTACAATACCCCTTTAAACTGGCTTGTGTGAAAAATGGCTTACTGTTCTTCCATTACCATATATTGCATTTAATGAGATTAATTAATAATTACAAATTTAGATTTTCAAAACTCAAATATATGTACTTTAAAATAAGCTCCTAACTTAACTAAACTGGGTAATCTGTTTCTCATCACAGTTAAAAACTAAATGCTGTTTACCTTACAGTCCCAACACTCTTAAGTACCAGGATTCCAGAGGACAGTTAGTATTTATGAGTAAAGTTAAGATTTGTACCGTTCTAACAACCATCCGGAACTCACAGATTTAAAAGTTACCAGACTATTAATATTACTTGGCAGCTTAAAAACCGTAGTTTTTGTTGAGATAGGATACCTTTGCATCTTTTTCATCTTAATCGCAATAAATCTAACCCATATCAACCACAGATATCTTATTGTGCATAACATTTTTGAAATCAATGGTTTAGAAAGCAGCTTCTGAAACCAGAGTGTCATTCTGTTATTCATTTTCACCAATTTAACAATATATAAAAGCTGTTATTAAAATGTAATTAGCAATAGTGAAGATCTTAATTGAAATATACACAACTTACCACTAGAATCTCCAGCTGAACCTTCTTTTTTCTCAGAATCCTGCAAATATAGATTGAATATTAGTAGGCCTAATAAACTAAATTATTTGGTGAGGGGGGGATCGGAACGGATACAGTATTTTAGTTTTTGAGCACAGATGTGACTTCACATCTACCTAATAGGCCTACAGTAAGGTTTTCCTCTGTAAAACCCCTTTTTAACACGTCCTACCAAACCAATTATATGATTGAGGTGTCATTGTTAAGCTTATTATCGAGCGGAGTAACGAATGGTAACGAAAAGGTTAACGAATGGTAACTGAAAAGGTTATTTCCCTTAGATCTTTAATTTCTCGAGTTTACCTCATATCCGACCTCGGCATAACCGACTCCTCGGGATATCCGATGTGACTGACTATCTAATTGCTTCCTGTTTCGGGCGATAAGGCCGAGTGCGTTCAGCTAACCGAAAGGCCGATCACGGATGTTGCCGTAATCGTGGCAGACGATCACCACTACGCTGATCATGGGTGTTACTGCGATTGCGGGAGACAGTTATTGATGTCGCGGAGAATGCAATTTATGCTCCTCCCGATATCTAACTTTTTGAATAACTTCTTGATCAGCATTGTACGTGTTATTAAATTTACGGAAAGTAAATAAAAGAAACGTCTTATAACACTTAAAACATATATTTACGCTTATACTGTTACTCACAAGACGGTAAATATACAAAAAAGATGGTAAGTGGTGATCGATTTCGATTGGACACTCCAATCATCATCAGAATCAATAGGCGAATGACAAGAATCTTGAATGGCGTCCCTACTTATATCCTATTGGCCACCGGAAGCACCGGCCAATACATTTTTATAAGTACAACTGGAATCAAAATGTACTTGTTCATTAATCAACTTATTTCTATTTTTACATTTTTCCTTATAAATATACAATTCTTCCCAAGCATTCATTACATATCCTTTCTTACAATGCTTTAAAATATCTAGACTATCCTCCATTTTTCCTAGTGAGTGGCCGTTTTGTAGCAGGTGTTGTGCGACATTTGATCTTTCTGGTTTGTTGTTCCTCCACGCAGATATGTGGTTTTTGAAGCGGTTAACGAAGTTCACAGTCTGTCCAATGTAAAAGCTATCACAATCGCTAAATCAAAAGCTATCAGCATAAGCGTAAATATATGTTTTGTTATAAGACGTTTCTTTTATTTACTTCCCGCTAACTTTTTGGCAATTCCGACCATGGCCCGGTCCCGTCATGGTCAGATATGAGGGGTTCTACTGTATGAAAATTATTTTCAAACAGGCTACCTACTTATAAAATTATTGTAACCTCAAAAAAAGTCAGTAGATTACTTTTTAGATTGAATATTTACAATCAATAATATATTTAGTTTAGAGTAAATCAGTAAGTTTATTAACCTAAAAACTGTTTGAAACAAACATAACCTTTGAAAATTTAAATAGTAGGCCTATTGCATTTTTTGTTTTGCCTAGCAAACAAGGTTTAAAGCACTTGGAAAATGTGCTATTAGTGCACAGGTCCTCTCGTTTGTTTAAAAACTGTTTCTGCAGTATGTTTGTTTAACTGTCTTACTAGTTACAGCATTCGATATTGTAGGAGACGTTTCTCTGTATGGACGAGTTGTAACCAGTTCCTCATATAAATAGGACTTATAGTCCTTATAGTTAGAGTCAAAGACACGTAGGATATGTTATAATTTAAAATAAGTTGCCCTTTTGGTTTGACCTTATTAAAAGTAACTGGATTACTAAAGGCTCTTAAGAGGAACGTAGATGAATGAGTTGGCAAGAGCCGCGTCAAATTGGTATTTTATACAATTAATTTTACAATACCAGACATTTCACCCATGCTACGATGTGACGTCTTCACTGGAAAAGCTGAGACTAACAAGTACAGAGTGACTAAGAGAAACAATGTCACTGATGGATTTAGAAAAATCTATCAGTATTAGAGTTTAACAATAGTCAATGGTTTAACTGGTAGATATTTAAGTTCATCAACTCTAAACTAGTTTCATCACAGATATTTTACTACTTATTTATAACAGTGCACCAATTCAACATACTGTTATATGTTAGTTAAGTAACTCTTTAGCCAGAATAAAATAGGTGAGAGTTAAACATTTTGTTTGTCCCAACACTCTCAAACATAATTACTAGCCTAACTAGATTTGAAAACTGTATGAAATCTGCCATGGCTATTAAAGACTAACAGCTCAGAGAAAAATTGTTAGACAGTAAAAGATTTAAAGAGAATAATTTCTCATTCCTAGGCTTGGTTTACGTTCTGTTGCAAAACCAGTAAATTTTTATCAAATCTTTACTCACCTGTTCATCGTCACCATACGATACTTCGGCCAAATGGAACGCTGCCAACTCTGTGTCATCCTCACTACAGCAAAGAAAAAAATGTAATACATTGATAAAAGGTTAGGATAAAACTGGCAGAAATATTACTTTGACTAATAGTGTGATGGGTTGAAAATGTGGTCTAGTCTAGATTGACCAATCTGATCCGTCCACAGCTTAGGCATACTGTTCTGATGTGTGTCTGTTTAATTCCTACATAGTTTTTTTCATAACCATAAAATATTTTATAAACTGATTTAGAAGAAAATTCTGTCTAACTTGTGATACAACCTGATCATATTGGACCTAAAGAAACCTCTGTCTTCCTTGGTTGAAAATGCTGTCAGTAAAAGTGAAATAGGGCCTATTCTAATGTGTGTATATAGTGTTCAGTTTTGTGTCTCTTGTGCCAGTTTGGACTCTTTCCCATTTCTTTTTCATTCTTTGCATGGTGAGTTGCAGGTCATATTGTGTATGCATTTCCTTTATTATATGATGTTGAAGGAATTTCTTTTTATTCATAGATCTCATGTATATTTTATAATGTATTTTATAATGTAGAATTTGACGTTTTCCAATGACTTGTATATTGTAAGTTTTGCAGGAAATAAATTGATCTTATGTCTTATGTCTTATGTCTTATGTCAGGTAAGCCTGCTATCGTAACAAAAAAAATCCTAAAACCCTAGGCCCTTGTGCTCTATCAGAAATCTTTATGAAGCATATATGATATGTGCGTATAAAATCAAAATCTTGCGTTGACTATAGCACAATATAGCCTATAAATGAGTAGCAATTTAGTAAAATCTTTGCACATTTAATAGACTTGAGTACATTTTAAACAATGTTAACATTTAAAGATTTGAAAATGTCATAAAGGCTATTTAAAGAAATGGTTACAACTAGTATTCATCTAATATGTATGTAATATGAAATGCAATATAAGGAAATTGAATGGATCAAATTTCTAATTCTACTAACTCTTCTGGATAACTTTCGTCATCCATTTTTTCTTCTTCATCCTCTTGATCCTCCTGACTATTGTTATCCTTGTCTTCATCTTCTTCAGAGGATTTGTCTTGATACTCGTTGACCTCAGATTTTACGGTCGGTAGCCTAAAATACAAGTTCATCTATTTAGTGCTATATAATGGTTTGGAAAATTAAACATTTTTGTTTATCAGATTAGGTACACCATCAAAAGCTATGCCCACACCCTAGTGCTTTAAATTTACACGTTCAATTCAACATGCATCAACGCATCATGTTATTGGATGCCTTTTCCAAAATGGATGAAGACGAAGCTATTCTATTAGAGGGAATTAGTGTGGCATATTTAGTGTTAAGAACAGTTAAAAAATGTCAGAAAATCAAGGAGTGCATAAAAATGGATGGAGTAGCCTACTATAAAACTCAAGTATTAAAAGTATTAAAATGTGTATAGGATTTAGGTTACTGTGTTTAAAGGTGGGTCAGACCTTATTTTCTAATGTTTCTTCTTTATTCATTTTGCTCCAAACAACTACAATACAGACGACTTGTCATAAATGTTAAGCAGTTGATTACAAAGAAAAAACAGTTGGCAATTGAAGCGTACAGAAAATCCAAAGCTGGTGGATCATCTTCCACTATGGAGCTCCCTCCGACTCAATTTGGGCCTACCTTGAAGCATGCGTTACTTGTGTAAAGGCAAGCGTTAAGAGGAATGTGCATGGTGCATTCAAAGCACATGAGTGTAGGTGGACATACCTAATGATCTACCTACTAAATTAACTTATTTCAAGAATTGTATGAAATATGCAGAGTAAATGAAGCCTATAAAAGGTTTGTAGGTAATCATATTTTTAAGCCAATCTTTTACTCTCACGATCGCATTAAGCAACAGGGAAGATTACGCAGTACTGTAATAAGATTGACAATGTTGGGAGAGATTTTTACGATTTTACAGCAACTGCAGAATATGTTCACGATTTTGCTACGATCGCAAAGGATGGTGTTTACAACATTTTATAGCCTAAACCAATTGTAGTAGACCTACAACAATTCTTGTGTAATACAAATTATCTAAACATCAGCTTTTTTCTCCTAACTCAAATACCCCTGCTGCAGCAAACCTGCCGACTTAGCGAATTTCCATTTGCCTGGATTGATTTTAAATTATTAATCTATAAAATTAAAACACTTATGTTTAACGAGTACTTACCTAAGTTAGCTGCTACAGGGAAACTAATAAAGTGTGTTTTTTTATCAAAATCAATAGCTTAGTATGAAATAAATGAAAACGCCAAGTTTGATCAAAATTTATCCATAAACAAGTCAACTCTAAACTTGTCATTGTCAACTTAACGAGGTAACCTAAATAATATAAGGCTATTTAGCCTATATGTTTTGACTGATTAAAATCTGTCAAGTAGTTTGGTCTCTGAGCGCTATAACAAATTGGTCAGCTCTGGGTGGGCTAAATGATTTAAGATTTCAAAATTAAATTTTACTGTCAGCTAATAAATTTGTATAGAGCCGTTGTCTAAATTAAACATACCACACAGAATTGTTTTCCTGAATTGGTTTTCCATCAACTTCTTTCGAACTACTTGGTTGATTCAATTTTGGTTGGCTTTCTGCAGTTCTAGTTTCATTTTCATGAGTAGTCCTAGATTCTGATCTGTAGTAGTTTATCTGATCTGGGTTTTCGCCATCGCTCATTTCCTCGTCTTCAGATTGACTAGAACACTTGTCAGATCTTTGACCTTCATCTTCTAAAATGTCCTTTTCTATATTGTCAGGAATACCTCTAAACTGCTCCAAATCGCTGAAAATCAATCATAAACATTATAAACAACAACAAAAATTATTAACATGCCAAATGATCTTATCAAATAATAGGCATAACTTATGTTTACCTAAGTTATAAAAATTCTTAATAGGCTAGGCTATAAAATGTTTGTTCTAAGTTAGCCTATATGTACAAAAGACGGAATGTTGCTCTTAGATATATTTCATTCAAACCCAGAATGAACATACTGTGTTGGGTATGTTTGAGTAGTTAATTCAATGAATGTTGAAAGAGGGATGGCCTAATGACTTCGGTAAGTCTTGAGTAGTTAGCTGACAGGTGTTACCTAAGCTTACGATATTCAAACTTAGACTGTATGACTGGCTAAGCCAAATTTAAATCCTTTAAGACTTGTCAGAACATTTTTCTAAGCCTGTAAACTTTCGATGTTTTGTTGACAAATAGTATTGTATTTTTAGCTTAGTAAGCCTAATGATCATTTGTAGCGATCACATTGATGTTGTCTATTTAATTAAGTATGGTCTATGTTTATGTTTAAAAACAATAAAAGATTCTGATTCTTAGACCAGAAGGATCTAAGTCAGGGCTATTTATCAAACGCTTAATGATCAAGGACATTTTGGGACCAGTTTTAAACTAGCCTTATTCTTTAACCACTAAATGTATCAACAAGGCTATGTAATCAAATATGTAAGTTAGGTCTCCAAACAATTAGCAAAAACCTGGACATATACGCTCTTAAACACTGCTAACTTAAAGGAAGGTCCCAGATATAATTTATTATCTTTCTTGGTCAAGTAAAGCTACGTTATGATTCTAAACTCCTTTTCAATCAGGCTAACAGAAAGATGATTAAGTTTAATTAATAACTTAATCTCAAATTTATCAACCTATGATGGTAATCAAAATGCTATACGTTAAAATCTTACTTGATTATATAAAATAACACTTTTAAAAAGGTTAAGCTAACAAAACACTCAATATTATTTCGAAAAACAACTCAAGGCCCTAGAAAGCGACCTAGTTGATAGTGGTTCATATAATTGACACTTTACCTGTTACTAGAGTTTCTAACTTCAGCCATTAATGATTGCGATTATTGTATTAATACTGTGGTAATATTTGAGTAAACCTTTTGGTTTTTATAATATTTGAGATAAAAATAAACATTCCAACACAAAGTAATTAACTACGACACTGAATCTGACATTACTAAATCAACAGACGATCAGAGATCAGACAGCGGATAGCAGCCATCTTTGACTTTGATTGGTAAAAGTAAAGTAAAAGTAAAGCCATTAGATAAATGCAAAGGCTACTGGAGAATATCATCGTGAAGTTAAGCTGGTTATACTGTCTAAATTGAACCATTACATTATAAACAGTTACATCAAACTGTTGGTTATTAATTAATTAATTTGTTATTGTTAGCCTGATTTCAATTTTATTATAACACACTATCCAGGATAGATGAGGTTTAAGTTGTTTCCCTACTGCAGCAATGATATAGTCTTAGACTATATCATTGCTATTCATCATGGCTATAGACTAACCAACCAACACAAGGAAGTATGTTTTATGGTTTTATCTATGATAGTCCAGAGGCAACGAAGACAAAAAAATACTAAAGAGAGGAATAACACTAACTTATAAACCAAATTTGGTACAGCTATAGGGTAAGGGTCCTTATACAACATGTACCGACCATGGGGATGAAGCTAAATGGAGCTCTACAAAAAGGTCCCTTTTTAGGATTTTTGTAAATAACTTGGAAACTATGACATCTAGCAAAAGGTTCGTTACATGTTTAAATAATCTATACTTAAAATTATCTACAAGAAAGGTCCTAATCATTTTTTTATATTACAGCATTACCATTTAATTTTTTTTAAGAGGTTGGCGGCCTCTTTTAACCTTGCAATGCCCGTCCACATAGACTAACCGCCGGTGGGGCACATGGGAGGGACGATGGCTGACATAGTGTCAGCGTTCGCTGCTAGAACTGCTAATTTGAACAATTTAAACTAAGTTAATTTTATAATTTTTAGTTATAAAATTTAACTGTCATAACCTAACCTAACCAACCAAACTTGCTGATTATATAAAAAATATATAAGATAAAAATGAAATGAATGTTTACTTATAATTTTTAATTATAAACTCAATTTAAAAATTTAGTATTTTTTAGTACGTCACGGCCGGCCTTTTCCAAAAGTCGTTCCCAAGTAATGTAATGGAGGTGCGCGCACTAGGACGGCACGGCCGTCACGGACGCCACCACCGCCACCGACGTCTGTCAGAAAGTTCGGAGGAGCGTCCGTGACGTCCGTGCTGTCCCAGTGCGCGCACCCCACGGCACGGAAATTTGTATCATGTCTAGAAAGACTCTCCTCTAGGTATCGAAGTAGACATTCGAACTTTTCATGGGTCATCCTAAAGTACTGGAAAAATTTTTCATTGTCCTCTACAAGATCGGGGAATAATGTGTGAAATTCACCAAAACCTAGTCGTTTTCTATTTATATTATGTATCCAAAATCTCGCTTTCCTCTTCCTCTTCCCCTCCTCTTCCTCTTCTCCTAAAATTAATCCAACTACCACCACGTCTTCGTCGATATCCATAGCTCCCACACTCTCACTGCTCACAGCAAAACAACTCAACTGCAAAATACATCAGTCCAAAATGCTGTGACGGCCGTGATGGCCGGCCGTGCCATCGCAGTGCGCGCACCCTCCCTGAAAAAGGCGGTGACGGTGGTGACGGCCATGACGGCGCAGTGCGCGCTTACCTTAAGCCACCGACTCACTAAACCAAATCAAAATCTTGGAGACAATTGAATTGCTTATGCAACAAACGTTTCTTCATAAATACATGCTGCATTTCACAGTTACAGCACAAGGCGCAATAAGGAGCTACCAGTTCACAGAACATCACTCTTCTCGAAGAAACTTTCGTATGCTGGAGCTAGAGCGAGACTCTACAACCTGCTTGCCCTGATTGTCAAGGAGGGTTCATAAACAACATTGATAAGGTAGATCCCTGGAATGGCTTGCTGATTCTCCACTTTACATTTGGTGAGTTCACGGCCCGTGCAAGACCCCATCTTCTATTGGACACGTGTAGGCCAGCTCTTGTAAAAAAAATACCATCGACATTATTCCGCGCTTGGTGCTCATTAATAAGGTATTCTGAAAAAGGTTTAAAAAAAAACATGCTTGCCTATTAATATATAGATTGGAACCAACATTAAAATAATTGTCTTCGGCTGATCCATTAGGATGTCAAATATACAAAGGAAGTTTGTTTAATCATAGATAAAATCATAACATCTATACGGGATCCCTTCAAGTAGGTAACCTTTCAAACTGGTGAAGGGACCTACCTGCCCGATATTGAAATCGGTCAGGTTGGTTACTTTTCAATTTGGTGAGGTAATGAACGCCCTCTTGCTCTTGTGGTGGGGGCATCGACTGCTCTCATTGGCTGCAAGGTTTCTGGGGGAGGGAGTAGTTGTTATGGGGTGAACAGTGCTGCCAACCCAAAAGTCTGGAGCAATAAACATTCCCATACAAGGGTAATGTGGGTAATTCCGATATTTACGGCTACAAAGTAGGCAGTATAAATGCCGAAGGAAATTATATGTATAAAATATCTAGTTAGAACTTTGCATAGGTGAAATACTGTAAATAACAAAATACGATATTAAGTCCATCATCTTGCGAACCTGTTTCTCTCCATGCCCCTGGGTCACTGCTAGGCTACTTTCTCTTGTAACTAAATATCTACAGTATTAACGGGTCAGATTTTATTAATTAACTAGGTGTTACCGTTGGCATCGCCCGACATACTTTTTCGTCTTTTATTCTTTACTATAAGCCTGCTGAAGTTGTCACTGACTTCGCTACGGAACGGAACTACCCTCTCTGGAACAACTGAATGATGTTTTTACCAAAAAAAATACTAAAGTATTCATATCTCCTTTCATTCATAATCATACTCCAAGCCAAATTTTCCAATGGTACAGTTAGTTTTCTCTAACTTTATTGAAAAGTATTTCAGATAGTCTAAAGTAGGATTAAAAGTAACACAAAAACATTATTTTATTTAGTGATATACTGTATATATGATGTTCCCCGTTACTGTCTCGGCATGCTCTTGATTTGATATTATTCTTGAATTTTGTTGTCCCTTCTGTACATTTAATAATTACTAGAGGGCCCATGCTACTCTACAGCGTTGAAATGAAAATCATATTCGAGCAATAATCAAATTTATAAATTTTTATTGAGTATCTTGATCTTAACTGATTCAAACGATAAATAGCTCAAATTAAAACCTTTAATTAACTTACTATTTTGCGTAAAAAACATGAAAAAACATAAACAATAGTGGACATATTGATTTTTAATCATAAAAAACCCTTATAAAAAAATAATTTATATGTTGGTTGTTCACATTGCAATTGCTTGTAGTCCGTCCGATTTGGATAACTAATTAATAGCTTAAATGAAAGCCGGCATTTCACTGAAGGTTCTTAGACCAAAATATGTAGGATTATACAATTATAACTGGTGAAATGCATCTTAAATTGAAGTAAGAATTCGAAAAAGTCAAATATATGTTTTTTGGACGAGTAATACAGTAGATCAATATATATGCCGATGCTTAGAGTGAAATCTGTGCACACCCTCAATTTGAGACCTCAATAATGAAAATCGGTTAAATTTATTTTTAAATATAAGAAGATAGGTGAGGATAGGACTATTAACGTTTAACGAAAACTATCACCGTTTTACAACAAATTGTGTAGCAGTTCCGGTTAATGATAGCAACCTATACTGAATTGAAGCTTTAGAATAGAAGATTTAAAATGTTTACGGGAGCAAGCTCCTAAAATGTAATAATGTCGGTAGCTATACTTGAGATAGTACACTTGATAGGTTTTTAACAGCTTTTATTGATTTATGCATTATTATTATATAATAAATAATGCTATTTAATAAAATAAAATATTAGTAATCATATGGTTAAACGTACGGACACTGACTAGTTTTTAGGTGTCGGAAGAAGCAAATTTTCACAGTTTTGAATGTAAACCTATTTTACTCGAAATATGTTTGAGATAGAAAAACACTCTTGAAATACAAAAGTTGTGGATAATTTAATTCTACACTACCGTTCTTCCATAAGATTTAAGATCCAAGCATTGTAGCTTATAAGTTACAGACCAAAATATAATATCTTGCATACTCGAATTTCTTCTGAAATAGATTTAATCCCCTAAACCACCCTTGAATTTAGAACTTTGCAAAACCCAACTTTGTACATCTACACCATATACATGGATTGCCGTCCCAATGCAAAATTCTATTATTCTAGGTCTTATATATGTTTTGAGATACATTATAGTGATCATTTGTCAGTGATATGCCAATCAATATAAAGGTAGGTCAATGGAAAGCATTTATCTACGTGGTGATCGGATGCATAGCAGCTTCAAAACGGATACGTCACAAAATTCGTGTTTGCCTATTAAATATATTGGGTATCTATATTTTTAATATATAGATACCCAATATGCCTATACACATTTAAACTTATGGGTCAATTTGCTGCACACAAAATCCAACAAAGTCTTTTAATAATATAGATACTTAAGGTTAAGGAAACTCCAGAACCACTTGGGTGGAACCCAAAAGTCAGATCAGGATAAAAACTACTTAGTTTTCCTATTTAATGCCTGAAGAATCGGTACACCAAATTTCAACGTTCTAGCTAGTCTGGAAGTTGGATTAGTAATGAATCATTGAGTGAGGGCTTTTACTTTTATATGTTAAGATTATTAGCTGAATATAACACATATGAAAGGTACAAAATAAAATCCATAAGTTAAATACAGTAGTAGAATATATAAATACGGAGCTCCAGACAAAGCTGTCTTTAAAATTTGAAATAGGTGTTGCTGCAGACTTTTAATTTTATTCAGCGAGATTACGCCCCTGAATTTAGTGTTACTCCCTCAATATGACAACACTGTTGGATAAATCTAGCTCAGTGGGATAAATGCAGGGATGCAGCAGGCACTAGTAGAGCGAAATTTCCCACAATTTCCATGTAACCGTTTGAAGCGTTTGACTGGTTTTCAGGTTATGTGACAAAATCCAAAACACAATTGAACATAGGATGCACAATAAATCGGATGTGTTTACTTTTGGGCTATTGACTTAATTATTACATCAAACAATTAAATGTATTC